TGATAGTCGACCATTAGGGTCCGGGTTGGTTAAGTAAGTTACGGTACCAGTCACCATGATTACGCAGGAGACGCATGTTGAGCAGATCACCTTATGATTATTGAGTCTCCTGCTTACCCTGTAGTCTTGGGTATCCCGTGGTTAGCCCTTCACAACCCCAATTTCTCATGGCCGCAGAGGGTTCTGACGGGGTGGTCGCGTGAGTGTCCGGGTAGGTGTCTAGGTGTTTCCGTTGGTGCGACCACGGTGGAAAGTCCAGACGTTACCCCCACCGTGCGCATTACCCCCGAATACCATGATCTGGCGTTCGCATTTTCCAAGACGCAAGCGACTAAATTACCACCTCATCGGGAGGGGGATTGCGCGATAAACCTTCGGGTAGACGCTGTACCTCCCAGGAGTCATGTGTATCCCCTGTTGCAGGCTGAAACGGAGGCTATGGAAACATACGTCACCGAAGCCCTGCGCCAGGGGTATATACGTCCCTCCACTTCACCTGCCATCTCGAGTTTCTTCTTTGTGAAGAAGAAAGATGGCGGTTTATGCCCGTGCATTGATTATCGACCACTGAATAATGTGACGGTACAATTTAGTTATACTCTTCCCCTCATTCCTTCAGTGATTGAGTCAATGCATGGGGCCCGCTTTTTCACCAAATTAGACCTCAGGAGTGCCTACAACCTGGTGCGTATTGGGGAAGGGGATGAGTGAAAAACAGCATTCAGCACAACCTCGGGGCATTATGAATACCTGGTGATGCCCTACGGTTTGATGAATGCTCCATCCGTTTTCCAGTCCTATGTGAACGAGGTGTTTCGGGACATGCTTGGTCGCGGTGTTGTGGTCTACATCGATGACATCCTGGTGTATTCCGCTACGCGCGCCAAGCATGTGTCCCTGGTTCGCAAGGTACTGGTCCGACTGCTGGAAAATGATATTTATGCCAAGGCAGAGAAGTGTGAGTTTTTCCAGCAGTCAATCTCCTTCCTCGGATATCGCATTACCACCACAGGTGTGGAGATGGAGGGAGACCGCATTGCAGCAGTGCGTAATTGGCCGACTCCAACCACGGTAAAGGAGGTGCAGCGCTTCCTTGGCTTTGCCAACTACTATCAAAGGTTTATTCTGGGCTTTGGCAAGGTCGCAGCTCCCATTACCTCCTTGTTGAAGGGTGGGCCGTCCCGGCTCCGCTGGTCTGCTGAGACTGATTTGGCATTCAGTAGATTGCAGGGTCTGTTCACCTCAGCCCCGGTACTGGCTCACCCCGATCCATCACTACCGTTCATAGTGGAGGTGGATGCGTCCGAGGTAGGGATAGGAGCTGTCTTATGCCAACGCTCAGGCACGCCACCCAAGCTCCGCCCTTGTGCCTTCTTTTCTAAGAAGCTCAGCTCGGCGGAGCAGAACTACGGCGTTAGTGATCGGGAGCTGCTGGCTGTTGTCCGAGCATTGACGGTGTGGAGACATTGGCTCGAAGTGGCGAGACACCCTTTCCTCGTCTGGACAGACCACCGTAACCTGGAGTACATTCGGGCAGCGAGGAGGCTGAATCCTCACCAGGCCAGGTGGGCCCTCTTCTTCACTCGGTTTGATTTCACACTCTCATACATTCCGGGTACGAAGAACGTGAAGCAGACGCACTGTCTCGGCTGTATGACACAGAGGAGAGGCCCAGAGTCAACACCCCCATACTCCCGGCCTCATGCATTGTGGCGGCGGTAGTATGGGCGATGGACGCAGATATAGCGCAGGCATTACGCACAGATCCATCTCCACCACAGTGTCCAGCTGGGCTGCAGTACGTGCCTGCGCTTATCCATGATCATCTGATCTACTGGGCACACGTCACCCTCCTCTGGTCATCCAGGTATCGGTCGTACAATGCACTGCCTGACCAAGAAGTACTGGTGGCCTACCTTGGCTAAGGACGTGAGGGTGTATGTTTCCTCATGCTCTGTGTGCGCCCAGAATAAGGCACCTAGGCACCTCCCAGTGGGTAAGCTACAACCTTTACCAGTTTCACAATGACCATGGTCTCATCTGAGTATTGATTTTCTCACTGATCTTCCCCCCACCCAAGGTAACACCACTATCCTGATCGTTGTGGACCGCTTTTCAAAGTCCTGCCGCCTCCTTCCTCTGGCCGGTCTCCTCACGGCCCTACAAACTGCGGAGGCTCTGTTTACTCACGTCTTCCGGCACTACGGGGTACCAGAGGACATAGTGTCTGACCGACGTCCCCAGTTCACGTCTAGAGTCTGGAAGGCGTTCATGGAACGTCTGGGGGTCTCGGTCAGCCTAACCTCTGGATTTCACCCCGAGAGTAATGGGCAGGTGGAAAGGGTGACTCAAGATGTGGGTAGGTTCCTGCGGACCTACTGTCAGGACCGGCCGGGGGAGTGGTTGGTGTTCCTGCCATGGGAAGAATATGCTCAGAACTCTCTCCGTCACTCCTCCACTAACCTGGTCCATGGCACCATGGCACCAGAGCCAGACCGAGGCTCCTGCGGTGGATGACTGGTTTCGGCGCGCGGAGGAGACTTGGGACGCTGCCCACGTTCGCCTCCAGTGCGCCGTGCGTCGTCAGAAGGCCAACGCTGACCGCCACCGCAGGGAGGCCCCGGTGTTCATACCGGGGGATCGGGTCTGGCTCTCGACCTGGAATCTGCCCCTCCGCCTGCCCTGCCGAAAGCTGAGCCCGCGATTTGTGGGGCCGTTTAAAGTCCTGAGGAGAATAAACGAGGTGACATACAGGTTGTTACTCCCCCCTGATTACCGAGGTTCCTCCACCTCCTCTGGACATTGAGGGGGTCCTGGCGTACTCGGTCCATTCCATCCTGGATTCGAGGCGTCGGGTGGGGGCCTTCAGTATCTCGTGGAGTGGGAGGGGTACAGTTTGGAGGAACGGTGCTGGGTCCCAAGGCGGGACATCCTCGATTCCTCCCTGTTGAGGGATTTCCACCGTCGCCATCCGACTCTCCCTGCTCCGCGTCCTCCTGGCGGTCCCCGAGGCCGGGGTCGGCGCACTGCTGGTGATATGCTTCGGGGGGAGGCTTACTGTCACGACTTCCGCCGAGGCTGCCCCCCCTCCTGGTTCGGGCAGGCTTCGGCGTTCGTCGTCACTGGAGTACTAGCTACTGCCGATCCCATTCTCATCACTCCACTTGTCATGTCTTGTCAATCACACACACCTGGTGCTCATTCCCCTAATTAGTATGTGTATAAGTGTTCCTTCTGTTCCCCTTGTCTTTGTGAGTGATTGTTTGTTGTGAGAGCGTGTAGCTCGGTTGAGCTACTATTCACTGTGTTTATGCCAAGGTGGATGTTTTCCCTTGTAATAGTTTCGTTTGACGCTTTGGGCGTTTGATTTATGTAAACGGCATAAACTCTGGACTTCGGTATTTTACCTCCAGCACTTGACTCATTCATTCACACCTCGTCACAGAACCGAAAAGGGTTATCCTATGGGGTAAGCCGAAGAACCCTTTTGGAACCCTTTTTGCTAATAGTGTACCCCTCTCCTCCTCACTGCTCTCACCTACACTCCCCTGTGCTCCTCACCCCCTCATCCACACACTAGCTTCTGCTCCTCAACCCTCACCCAACCTCCTTTACGACTCACCCCTGTCACCCACTCCTACAACTCAGCATCCCTCTCCTCCTCCCCCTTCACCTACTCCATCTTTGATTCTTACCCCCCCCACCTCTGATCCTCGCCCCTGCAAACCAGGGCATGGAAATCATATCGCAGCACAGGGATGACCTAGAATCGTTAACCTAACGTGACAGTGCATTAACTTCTGAGCAGGGAAACATGACTCCAATCCTCGAGGGCTGCAGTGTCTGCATCCTTCCATCTTTACCTTTTAGACACCGACTGATTTAGACATGGAAAAACAGATGTTCATATGCTAATATTTAGGACATTGACTTGCATTGGTTTTGGGCCACAAAGGCTTAAGGGAGTAATTGTGTGGCTAAATGCTCCCTGGAGACAGTTGCCAGCTAAACAAAACCAAAGTATGGATTACTGTCTTACCTTGTCCATAGACTGCTTACACGGTAAGGAAACCAATATGTAATTTGGGTGAACTCTCTCTTTGTAACAGGGTTGTATATACTAGTGAAGTGAATTATATGACTTTAGTACGGTTTTAATACTGATTTGGCTTGTGATACAAAAGAAAGGGGCTAATCCTGACTATGAAGATTAATACACTAATCTATAGCTACTCATTCAAATCAAGTTGTCAAAATATTTACATGTGAAAGCATCTATGACCACATGCTTGACTAACACACTGTTAGATCATGTTATATCTGCTTGACATTTCACAATTAATTGTTGTTTCAATTAGTAGTCATTGACTGTGGCACACCTGTCACTATTACAGCACAATTTATAGTAAACTGCCAAGGATATAGGAGACAGTCTGACGAATAAATAGCGAGAAACAGGAGACAAGAGTGGAGGCGTACTGTAAATGTAAATACACCAAGTCTCAATCACCTCGTCTGGTAAATCATGCACTCTGTGTTCCATGCCGACACACATCTTTAAATACCTCACTGTGACGACTGAGATAGGGCTAACTTCATCACATTATGCGTGAGCGAGTGAACCTGGGCTAAATTAGTAGCTTGGCAGCCTCCGTATGCAACCCCCCAGCCACCATGGCTGTACAGCCGAAAACACCCCCACACTACACTACAACTCCAGCACTATTCCTGTAGCCTTCCCTGCCACTACGGCACAGAAATACCAGCACCTCCAAGAACAGACGCCAAGCCTATGTCATAGCATCACAGTCAGCACTTCACCGGGGGGTTGGGTGCATGGGGTGGGGGGGATACCTGTAATGATATCTTGCTGGCTTGAATTTACACAGCCCCTACGGTGTGTGTGTGTTTTGTATTTTAGTGGAAAGAGAGACACAGAAAGGAGTACCCCATCCTGGTACATGTGTATTATGTCTCCTGGGCCCAGTGATGTCTGTTTTTCAAGCCTGGGCCAGACCACTGCTGTCACACTAACACAGAGACAGAGACAGAGACAGAGACAGAGACAGAGACAGAGAGAGAGAGACATACACATCTGTCTACTACCCCCCCTTTTTGTCCTAGGTGGATGGACTGTTGCCACGGGCAACCTGGCAACCTGTGTGTAGTCAAAAGATGAACAGGAAGCTGTGTCTGAGCAAAGCTTCTATTTATAGGAGCATCAGGAGAAAGGACAAGAGCATACTGTACATGTTTGTTTGTGTCACATTGAGAGCACAGAGGGAAAAGGAGGCAGATTGTGAGACAGTTACTAGAGAGAGAGGGAGGGAGGGATGGAGCAAAGGAGGGAGGGAGCAAGGGAACGTAGCGGAGGAGGCGGTGAGTGCGTGTTGATGCTGTACGTGGCGTCAGTATGATAAGAATAGAGACGGTGCGTGCAGCGCGGCTGAGACATCACCTTCACTCCCTCACCAGGGCAGGCTGTACTCACCGTGTGTGAGAGGTTGGGCTGTATTTATAAATACATAAATAATTGTACATTATCAAAGCAGATTTTTATTTTTGGATACATTTCATTATTGCATTTTTATTATAATTTAACAGTTTAACTACATTTTCACTATTAAAAAGTCAAACAATGAAAGAGGGAAAATAAATACTTGGCTGTAATAATGAAAATATATAACAGAAATACTGAAAATACTTAGCTGAAATAGCTCATATACCCTGAGTGCACAAAACATTAAGAACACCTGCTCTTTCCATGACAGACTGACCAGATGAAAGCTATGATCCCTTATTGATGTCACTTGTTAAATCCACTTCAATCAGTGTAGATGAAGGGGAGGAGACAGGTTAAAGAAGGATCTTTAAGCCTTGACACAATTGAGACATGGATTGTATAATATGTGCCATTTAGAGGTTGATTGGGCAAGACAAAAGATTGAAGTGCCTTTGAACGGGGTATGGTAGTAGGATGTTCTTAATGTTTTGTACAGTCTGTAAATTTACATTGTGTTCACATCGAATACAATTAGAAGCGACTAACTCCACAGGTCCTATCCATGTAAATTCATGTAAAGCACTATAACACAATATGGCAGTAGAGAATGACAGCGCTGTACATCATAGTATAATATAATGTGCTGTTTGACAGTCATCACATACTGCTTTGAGGCTGTTTTTCTGACACTGTTAATGTGAAAGAGCCTATAGGAGCGGGGCATCATATGGTGACAAAGGCCAGGAGTTGTTTGTGTGTGCGCACGTTCGTGCGTGTGTGTGGACGAGGGCGCCGACAGAGGCATGACGTCGTCACATGGTACTGGTCAGACAGAATGCCCCTGCACTGCCAATGCTGAAAGCCGTTTATAGAGCACACTCACACGGTCAGGTGTCGAATCAGCCACTGTAAAAAAAAAACTGCAAAGAAAGGAGCAACCATTCAGGGTTGGAGGGCATTAGTAAGGGTATAAGCCTGTATTAAAGGTGGGGTCAGGGTATGAATTATGCTTGAGGATATGGTCTGTCACAGGACAGGGTCAGGTTATGGTTCATGTTTAGTGTCATGTTACATCAAGATATAGGGTTATGGCTAGGGTAAGGGTTGAACCAGGATGTGGACATAAAGCTAGGTTTGGGATTAGGGTTATGGTTTAGGCTAGGGTTAGGGTTGAACCAGGATGTGGACATGAAGTTAGGGGTAGGGCCAGGGCTTTGGTTGATTTTATGGTAAAGGAGGACTCACAGCATGGATTTCTCCGTCTTTGACCTCTGGGTTGCTCTCTGATTTATACAGGGCTGGGGAGAAGGGACACAAACGCACAATATTAAGGCTGAATATCATAACCTGCAACAAAACATAACTCACCTAAGTGTGTGTGTGTTGAAATACCGAATAGCTTGCACAGCTTGGTGACACAGGCCACAAAGCCATGGAAAGGCAGGTGCAGCTTCCCAGAGCCAAACCTCTCCCACAGCACCTGTATGACCTGGCCATCACACTGCACACCTAACAGGAGGGAGGGAGAGGGGAGGGGAGGAGAGGAGAGAGAAATGTGTTATTATCCATTCAAGAGTGGAGTCCCTGCTGAAAAGAACAGCATATATTTCAAACTGGTCAGTGCTGTTCTGATGCTGGTCATTCTCGTCTGACCAGCATGGTCTAACTCAGGGATGGGCAACAGTGAACACACCTGACTCCAATAATCAACTAATCATGATCTAAAATCAACTATTCACTAAACAGTTTAAAATGCAATTTGTTTAGTCCAAATTGGTTTAGTGAAATGACCAAAATAACTTGTTTAAAAAAATTCCACAAAATAAATAACGGAAAAGTGGTGTGTGCATATGTATTCAACCCTTTGCTATGAAGCCCCTAAATAAGATCTGGTGCAACCAATTACCTTCAGAAGTCACATAATTAGTTAAAGAAAGTCCACCTGTGTGCAATCTAAGTGTCACATGATCTCAGTATATATACACCTGTTCTGAAAGGCCCCAGAGTCTGCAACACCACTAAGCAAGGGGCACCACCAAGCAAGCGGCACCATGAAGACCAAGGAGCTCTCCAAACAGGTCAGGGACAAAGTTGTGGAGATCAGGGTTGGGTTATAAAAAAATATCAGACACTTTGAACATCCTACGGAGCACCATTAAATCCATTATTAAAAAATGGAGAGAGAGAGGGCCGTCCACCAAAACTCACAGACCAGGCAAGGAGGGCATTAATCAGAGAGGCAACAAAGAGACCAAAGATAACCCTGAAGGAGCTGCAAAGCTCCACAGCGGAGATTGGAGTATCTGTCGTTTGGTGTTCGCCAAAAGGCATGTGGGAGACTCCCCAAACATATGGAAGAAGGTACTCTGGTCAGTTAAGACTAAAATTGAGCTTTTTGGCCATCAAGGAAAACGCTATGTCTGGCGCAAACCCAACACCTCTCATCACCCCAAGAACACCCTCCAGAGATTTAAGACTGGGACGGAGGTTCACCTTCCAGCAGGACAATGACCCTAAGCATACTGCTAAAGCAACACTTGAGTGGTTTAATGGGAAACATTTAAATGTCTTGGAATGGCCTAGTCAAAGCCCAGACCTCAATCCAATTGAGAATCTGTGGTATGACTTAAAGACTGCTGTACACCAGCGGAACCCATTCAACTTGAAGGAGCTTGAGCAGTTTTGCCTTGAAGAATGGGCAAAAATCCCAGTGGCTAGATGTGCCAAGCTTATAGAGACATACCCCAAGAGACTTGCAGCTGTAATTGCTGCAAAAGGTGGCTCTACAAAGTATTGACTTTGGGGGGGTGAATAGTTATGCACGCTCAAGTTTTGTTTGTTTCACAATAAAAAATATTTTGCATCATGTTGTGTAAACCAAATGATACAACCCCCTCCAAAATCCATTTTAATTCCAGGTTGTAAGGCAACAAAACAGGAAAAATGGGGGTGAATACTTTCGCAAGCCACTGTAGGTCTCCGACAGGCCGCGCCCCTCTTTGTGGTTATTGTTCCGGACCTGACACACTCATGACACACCTGACCTCGCCTCCTCCCGCCTGCCTTCCATCTTTGAGGACATGTATATCTTGAGTGGTCACTAATATCTTGAGAAGGTTTGACAGGTGCAATCAATATAGAAATCAATATGGTAATAGCACCACCTTGCCCATTGATAGGCTATGTGTAAGTTTCACCATATTGCTTATATCAATCAAATCCTCTCAGATCGCCACAAGTGCATAGGGCCTATAGTGGTCTATTTGGGATTGGGCCGAGGTGTTGCGTTTCCAATTTCTGTTAGCTAGCTAAGTTACCATACACAGCCATGGTCCAGTGTTTTGTCCCAGACTAACCATCGCTCCGGAGTCTGACTACTGCATTTTACAGTTTCCCCACGTCTAGTGTAGCCAATATCAGGGTGACAGTCAAAGTAAGCACACACATACAATGCTTACAAGCAACAGTACACAGAACATTATCAGTTATTTTAATACAAAAATAAACATTGTCCGTTTTATGAACTGAAAATGTACAAATGTGTAATACAGTGAAATACAACTCCTCTGGCTTCAAAACATAACTCCAAGCTCTTGCGGTAGTTCCATGGTTGTTGGTCGCATTAGAACTGACCCAGGGTCGGTTTCTGTGGTGGCAGAAACGCTAAGGCTCATGTTTAGTGTAGTTTTTGGTGCTCTTTGAAACTTGGAACTGACGGTAAAAACACGACTTCTCAGCACAGAGATTGAAACATTCAAAACTGATGGGCACTACATCAACATACGAATGGTTTTGCAATCTTGGGAGAAAATAGAACATAGTTGCACAGTAATATCGCTATTGCTAATATTTAATATCACCACGGTTACTAGTATTGAGAATTCAGTTCCGGAACCACTCGTTGCGGAGCCCTATTGCTTAACACCTTGGGGCTTGTCCCTCTAGCAGTCAATCAATCAAATGTATTTATAAAGCCCTTTTTACATCAGCAGATGTCACAAAGTGCTTTACAGAAACCCAGCCTAAAACCCCAAACAACAATGCAGTCCTACATGCAGACTGCGAAGAGAGGCCAGTTAAGGCTCTGTCTGATCTCGGGTCAGACTGCCACGCCCCCCAGTCTGACAGGTGGGTTAGGGATAGCTCTCGGACACAGACAGAGGCTCTCAAAGGTACCAGGGCCCGTATCCACAAAGCATATCAGAGTATGAGTGCTGATTGTTGCGTTTCCCAGCAAGAAAACCAAAAATGTCGCTCAAACAGAAGGGGGAACTAACAAAGAGTCACTGACAACGACCAAAACGAGACAGGTGGGGTTCTAGGAGGGGTTCTGAAAGACACTCATGGGAGGTGTCCCCTGAAAGTTGACTAGCAACAACTGGGACCTAAAAAAAGACACCCACCATGAGTGCCCACTAAATCTGCCCAAGAAGAGGCCAACAACATAAAACCCCACACCAAACTTAGACCGGAAGCAAACCAAAAAGTGGAGCAAAACGAAAACAAGGAAGATCAGATAAAGGATAGTTTTTTAAAAAATCAAATAGGGAGTGCCAACTAAAGGTGTTAACCCTCCACATCTCTCAAGCCAACTGGAACAATGGGCCAGCCACTCTTAAATATAACTTGTGCCAGCACAGGTGAAACACCTGACTAACAAGATGACAAGCCAGCACAGGTATAAAACATACTGACTAACGAGGAGACACCATTAGGTGCGGCCAACGTGCTAACGTCCAACCTTGAAATATAAATGGAAAAACCAAAGCCTTTAACACCTTCCCCCTTAAGACAACAAATGTATTCTATATTGTTGTTGGACAAGTTTGCTCACAACCAACAGAAAACCACTTCCATATCACAACATGATCAACTTAAAAGCGTCGGTACTTAAAAAAGTCACCTTCTCCAATATAAACATGCTATCTACTGGCTGTCAATACTTAAATACAAGACCAAACAGACACTTTTTTATATGTACTGTATATATATTATTTTGAGAAAGAGGTAAAATCACATATGTTTCTATAACTCTCATCCCATTGGAATGAGCTCTACCAAAACTCATCTCCAATACTGCAAAATGTGCAGTCAAATAAAATGTTGGCCACGCTACACACTGGCTAAACACAAAACGTGATGACTGCCCACCCTTGAAAGACAACCAGCAACCAAGTTGTCCTTACCACGGACATGTCTGATTTCAACGGGAAACTCCTGCAATATGAGACTCCAGCAAAGGAGTCAGCGATTCACAGAGCTCGTCTTTTGCATGAAAATGACAGGGTTATGATTGGTATAGACCACCAGAGGTGTAGAGACTGATACATAAACCTTGAAGTGCTGAAGAGCCAGTACCCAAGCGAGCGTCTACTTCTCGATTAGTCAAGTACTGTTTTTGATGTGAGGCCAATTTATTTGAAAAGTACCCCACAGAGCCTTTGAAACGTGGCTCCAGCATTTTGTAACCCAAACGGGAGACGAAGGTAGGAAAACAAACCTTCAGGTGTGATAAAAGCAGACAGCTCTTTGGTGCGCTCAGTTAGGGGGACATGCCAGCAGATCGAACTTGCTAACGTACTTAGCAGCGCCAACACGGTCCACACAATCGTCGACCCTGGGCAAAGGGTAGGAATCTGACTTAGTAACGGCACGGAGTTTCCAAAAATTGGAACAAAACCGCAGACACCAATCTGCTTCAGGTACAGGGCAAACTCCATGGACTGTTGCCGTGTTGTGCAATGCCGTGCTCAAGCATGAACTCCACCTCACTGCGGAGTTTCTCTCTCTTTTTAGGATTTACTCGATAGGCATTTTGTTTGATTGGGGCAGAGTCCCCAACGTCAATGTCATGCACTAGTACATTTGTCTGAGTTGGCACATCTGAGAATAAAACCTGTTATTCTAAAAGCAGTGCAACAATGTCGCCTTTTTCCTCCGGAGACAAGTGTGCCAAAAAGACATCAAGGTTATCTAGAACCTCTGAGTTACTCAGCCGTCCTATAGGCACAGGGTATATTGGGCTTTCCTCATGCTCTTGAGGAAGACTATAGTCAACGGTGACAGCAGTGGCAACAGGCAGAACATCACTACCGGGTGAAGTATGGTTTCAACATGTTGACATGACACAGCCAGGTTTATTTCCTGCGCTCCAGCGTGGCGATGATGTAATCCAAATTATTTTTTTATTTTTTTTACTATGGGGTAAGGGCCTGAAAAGCAAGCTTGCAACGGTGACCCCAGAATGGGCAATAAAACTAGGACTTGGTCACCCACATCGAAAGTGCAGTTTAGGGCCTTTCTATAGTACCAAACGTTCATTTTCGTTTGCGCCTTCCCCTGATTCTCACTGGCAAACTCATAGGTGTGGTGCAATCTGTATCAAAAAGCGCTAACCTGCTCCAACAGATTTGTTTTTATGTTAATGATGTTGCCCTGCAACAACCTCTCTCTCAGCAGCAAGGACCTCTGACATGATGTCCAATCACGAGCTCATTCGGACTAAAA